CCTTTGAGTTTCACATCAGCAGTGAATCCAGCAAACATATCAAGTCCTAGGATATCCTGTGCTGCGCAACCCGTTTTGAAACCGTGGAGCGCATGACGCATCTGTTAGGACAATCAGTGAACTATATAAAAATAACTAGACTCCCTCGATGAAATATTTGTAAAGTGCTCCAAGGAATGTGACGCATTCAACTAACGAAAGCGGGAGAAATGTTAGCGAATATACACTCATCTGCAAACTAATTTGGTTCTTTCGAGAGACTCACCTGGAACCCAGCTGAATCTCTCGTTTATGATGTTCTCAGGCAACTGAATGTGCTGCACCAGGTCGCCTCATGTTTTAGTCGCTACGATATTTGAAATATCGCGATACATGTATATTTGTAATGGATTTTCAGCAACCTTATTAGTAGTACATTACAAATATACGGGAGAAATGTTATTCGGAAGAGGTTAGGGCCATGCTCTTGGACGTTTTAAACCACTAGAATTTTGAAAAAAATGGTAGACTTTATTTCTGGGTACTAGAGAATTTCAACTGTAATGCATTAATAAAGTTTTTTCCATATAACTTGAGACCTGGGTATTATATTGAGTCCTCAGACGATGTGTACAGCAAGAAAAAGGTATTTCAGGATATCAAGTTGACTCGCACTATTTTTCACTTTGCATTGTTTACCTGAGAACAAGAAGGTAAATTCTCAGCACGACTAATCCCCAATTTGGGTAATTTAACTCACCGAAATGTGGTCAACTTCCTGTGAGCGTTTCCGGCCCGTTTACAGTGTTTCAATAAAATCACCAACCAAGCACCAAGGTATCCCAAATCAGGTTCACGATGATCCAGGGTGAACCGAAGACACCAATTTTACGTTCAGTCTCTGTTCTGTGAATCAAGCGCATACGATCAAGTGCCACATATATTTACCTATATATTTTCAGCAACGTTGGCTCGAAAGCAACATAAATATCTTTCCCTAGGTTTGCCTAATATCTAACACCGTTGGTGAAGCGCAAAGAACTATTTTCAATAGAAAATCTTCTGAAGTGGTTTGGCGCATACTCTAACCAGTTATATCTGAGTTAATGTTGATGAAAACTTCGTGGAATGTCTTGCTGGCTGAGCAACGAATAGTTTTGATTTAGGTTTGTTTTCAGAGTAAATCATAATTTTGTGAGAGGATGATTTATGGAGTGGATCTATGGAACAGGACATAGAACTGAACATACTTGTCTTCGGCAACACAAATGATTCGATCCGCGAATGTCATCCAGGGACAATAAAGTAAAGTGACTGTTTGGTGGGAACTAGGTATGGCGTGTAAACACAAGTTCCTAGTTCACAAGTTTCTTGTGAACTTGCATGAATGGGCACTTGCAAAATCTTTCCCCAGTGAATCGCTCGGACATGAACTTGATGAGGTTCAAAATCATAACGAATTTCGTGGAAAATCGAGCTCCGGTGGAGACGGCGAATACCGGCTCAGATGTTTTTGTTAACTTATCTATCTCAAATGAACACATCACATCCCCTTTACTCTAACAGCGCCCGCAGCTACCGTTCGCTATCATAAGGGGAAGTATGTGTAGAGACGATACGTTCAATCTTTGCGTTTGGCGTAGCCGGCGCAACCAGGCCACTTCCATACACTCATGTCTTAACAAATGGGGTAACCGTTGATCACCTCATCATCTGATCATATCGGAGAGGCAGATTGTACCGTGCTTTCAAGACTAGGCAACGAAACATTACTTTCAATAGATCCTTTTAACCAAAACAGTTCATTATTTCCTCTATATCCCCTACCATATATTCGTATAACATAATTAGATTTATCGATATATATATATATATATATCCATATACTTATATATTCACATACGTTAATATATGTAAATATATGAACACATAGATATGAACTCATTTATACTGATATGTACCCACAAATATTAGATACGCTACATATCACTTTATATGCTAAAAAACTAAATTGTCTGAACTTTTGAGGTAGTCTGAAAAAGAAGTCCTTCCATCAAGCGGGGAAAAGTATGAAAGAACGGTTTGCATTACTGTCATGGCTACCTAATACTTTTATGTTGCCTTGTTACCACGTTTTCACAATAAAGCCCAAAGTCCAGTTGGACAAGAAACATAGAAACAACCACCAACCCACCGCTACGCACTACTACGCTCCTCAATAACGCGCTGATGATGTCACCTCGATTGGTGATGAAACGGTTGCAATCAAATTGCCCAGCTCAGCGAACAAGCCAACGACCACCAGCTACGCTACCTGAGCTACCGACCCGACATTTTATAGAAAACTTAGAAATCCTGTTAGTTATCTCCTAGATATCGGACAGCCTTCCACACCTTGAGAAGAAAAATAAAAAGCTGAACTATTCTCAGCTTTTTGGCTATCTTACTTGTTACGAACATCCACACTGGTCTTGTTGCATTAAAGAACACGTCTCTCGGGTTGTATATAGATCCCTACTGAATCAAACAGGGGAAGGCCTGTAATTACGAACTCAGAAACATGAATTCACTTGAATTCACATGAATTGTTCCTCGTAAACGTCACTGTGATCTGTAAACGAGTGCGCCTTGTCAAAATGGATGTCTTCCATTGGCAACGCATCAGTTACATTCAGTCACTTATCTCAGCGCCATTTAACCGAGCTTTTAGTTTTCACTGCATGGGACTGTTTTCTCTTGCATGAATTTGCACGGAATGAAGAAGATACCCGGCAGTAAGTCGTTGTTTGGTGGAAGTAATAACACCTGTTTACGGTGTGAAGCCTTGTCCCAATTTCGAACGAAACTGCAATGGCTAGGTGTCTTGTATGCCTCTGCAGATGCGCTGTTTCCTGTGTCCACATTGTGATCAAAGCTACCACAGATCTGTCGGACGTGTTAAGTTGGCTTACGCAGCTACAAACCGAACGGTCACTACCTGAGGTTGTCTGCCACCAGAACTGTCACTCGTTTGTAATTCTACACCCAGCTACGCGCCAGGAGTAACCTTTACTGCCTAGTTTCAATAGATGCTGATGATAGCTTGAACAAAGGATCGTATGCACGCCTTCACCAAGGAAACGTTTGGTCGCGTTCATTTGGAATCCAATTCCGGTTTGTGCCGGTGCAAATTTGTCAATAAATGTTTCGCTGTATCGTTATTTCACTGAATGAACGCGCACCTTTTAGCACAGAAGTGAAATCTACACGTAAAAAGATTTCTACTCTGTCTCACTTCTCAGTCATATAGTTTTACGTATATACTGAGAGAACGTACCCCTTTGAATATTTTGGCCATTCCTAACAGATGTGGGCCAAACACCTTTCCATCGGATGTCAGATTTGGCGTACAACGGCACAGTTGTTTGTTTAGAATCGCAGATAACGGAGCTAGACATTTGAAATGTATACCAACTCTCAAATTCCCCTGGCCATCAAGTTTACTTCAGCTGCCCGAATGTACTCTACAGACAATAGGACTCACGCCGACCACAAAACCTATTCGTAATTTTCAAGAGAAGAAAACTAGTGCCAGTGTCCTTCTTTACCAGGAGCACTCTGTGTCAGACATTTATTTCTTTCCAAAACTTCTGCAAATCTAAAAGCAGAGAAGAGGCTTTGGAGACAGGACTCAATTAAGAATTATCCTCTCCAAAAAAGAAGTTCTATCTCCCCAGCCCAGGTCTTTTGGTCGTCTTTGAGGTAATCGAAAGACCGGTATAATCATATGGGTCCCAATTTCCAGAATGACCGCGAGAAACAACAAAGAAGTCACTGCTTGATGATGTTCATACGAGCTAAAACACAAGTAATTTTATACAGATTTGTTAAGAGGGAAGAGCAGTCAACGAATTATTAAGCTAGTTCCAACATTTTTTCTTTTCAAATGCCGCAAAGTGAACGTTGAAATGAATACTATTTACTTGAAAGGTCGTTCTGGAGTCACATTTACTGGATCAAATGTCATTCCAAAAAAACGCGCATAATAAGTCCACCTTCAGTAATAAAAACAGAGTGTGGACTTTTCGGTAAACTAAGTCGAGTTGGTTCTTGTACCCTCACAGGCACACTCATCGAACGTTGGAGTGCGGCTTCCACCATACCCCGGCAGACCCAGTGACTATCTACGCTTATATTATCTCCGCTTAATTGAGTCTGGCAAGCAAAAGCACGGAGTATTTAGTTATTGCCTCAGATAATAAATGCGCAGTAACTATTCCCACATCCTTAGCGGAAGTTTTAGGGTAGCCGGACTGTCCTGCACATAAAAAATTTCGGTCAACTGTCTACCTGGATGACGAAAACCCGAAAACAACTTTCAAAGCCCACAGCCGCTTGCCAGCCAGCCTAAGCGAAACTTGCCTCTTCTCACACTTCACAAAACAGTCGTGAGAACGGACGCCTGCAGGTGACCATTTAAAAGAGAGTGCGGATTTAAGGCTTGCCAGCTGAATTCCGTCAGAATGGTTATTGCAGTTGGGGGCGCAGCCGCCACTCGTGACTCCGAGGGCTGAGGCGATGATGCCGGCTACACACTGCTCAATCAAATGATCCATGTTGACCTAGACACGGTAATTGCAAACGAGCAGAGGCCAGTGTTTGAATATAACTTAAGAGTGACCACGATTAAATAACACAATGAGAACGTCGCCGAATCTGGAATCTGTTTACAGAATTCGGCGCTTTAAGTTTTCTTGAATAGTAATTGATAACCTCTTCATACACCCTCAGCAGTCACCCTCCCCTCTGACTGTTCCTCCTTGATTAAACTTTCTTGAGTCACAATCTTGCCAGGACTTGTCAACCGGAGCTTTCTACTATCTGATGCTCTCCCTGTTGAGGTTCCCGATACGAAACTTTGAGAAACGCGTAGGATCGACAATCCAGAAGGTCTAAAGAAAGAATTGGGTTCGTAATTCTAGTGCACCATTTACACAAGGGCAAGCAAATGTGTAAACCAACCTCAGTTTTTACGTTCGTAGGGTCAACCAGTTCACAGGTCTGTCACTGGCCCGCACAGTGCAACGTCGACGCCGGCACACCAAACGGCAGCGAACGGTATGATGGCCCAGTGGCGTGGGTTGCTGTTGTCCCTTCCGACGACACGCGTGCAACGGGCTTGGTAAAACCTCGTATGCACAACGACCAGTAGCCAGATCTGACTCCCATCTGCTTCCCCCGCCCTGCCCACACATTCCCTCCAACTTGAAAACCCTATTCGGCTACCACCCATTTCTCTGCACCCATCGCCCCTTTCTGCACTCTATCCCTTCCACATCTCCCGGCGGCGCGCAAGACAACACGGCTGACAACAACACACTCCCTCAGAAACATTCCAAACCTTGTACCAGGGCTCCATCGATACTCCACCGTCCGACACGACTTCATGCCTACTTTACCCGGTAGTTGCCCCTCTAAGAACCCCAGCTTTACTTCTGAATTCAACACAGCATCAAACTGAAATGTGGGCGAAGTTAGAAACCTCTTACTTAGTACGGTTTGCTCACCAATGAGCCTGTCAGGCAGAGTGGTTACGCAGAGGGGGAATCAAGCGAAAATTTGTGCTTCTAGTCACTATTTCCTCCCCATTGCCATACGGAAGATCTTGGAGCGGACTGTTAGCATTCAAAGGCCAACCCTACGATCGAGTCTATATCCGAGGACCACCCTTTAGAGGTTCGAAAGCTGTGTCGTAGAGGTCCGAGACGAGGAACGCGAAAAGGGCTTCCGCTTCGCTCCAGTTCCTTGTTTCTTTGAGAGTACCCCGACGCAACTGACCACGACTCTAGATTGGAGCTTCTACGTAAATAAAGCGAACCCCTTGTCTACTAAAGCCAGCAGTGCCTGGAAGAAGGCAACGCTCACGAGGAGGTAGGGTTATCATCGCTTGATCCCGTAGCGGACGAGAAAGACGCATCAGTAAAATTCACACCCCAGTTGGATTGGGTCATAACTCAGGAGACAAGCGGCGAAGCCTGCTGACTAATCAACCATAAGCGTTTACCTCGATATCAAGGAATGCTCACAGAACCCTATGGTTACTAAAACTCCAAAGCTGTCTTAAGCAGTCTCAAGCTCCACTCCGTCAAAAGAGACCTCTTCGAGTGTGAATACTGTCGTGGCCTATGACCTCGACAGCCAAAGTCACAAGCCCAAATGGAAGATTCTCTCATCCATTTGGCCACGGTGATCGCCGGAGGATCGGGCGTCCACACGAAACGCTAAAGAAAGCGACTGCGGCCAAACAAGCCACACAAACGTCGCCAAGTCGGAAAACTGTTGGCTAGCTTCAAGGTGCAGTCCTCTGAAAAGAAATGAGACTTATTGGAATGTTACCGAAAGAGAAATTTTAGGTTTTGTCACCCAATGCACAGGGCCTCACAGAGAAAACTTATGGTAAAACCGCGCCAAAATGCTCGAGAAACGAAACCGAAGTAGGTTCCATCTGAATCCCCGAAAAACAGCAAATCTGGTCGTTCATGTTGCAGCGGTTGAAACGCTTGCTCACGAGTGGAAATACTACGTCCCTCAAAGGTAAAAGGGTCGCACAAGACGAACACTCACGGGACAATAAAACCCTGCAAATAAAAAGCAGCTCCCGAAATGCCCAAGGCAGGAAGCAGATAAGTATGCCCCAGTGGCCCTTTTGGACTCAGATTCGGCGTAGAGTAATCAAAGTTGCTAACTTCATTTGTTGCACAGCTCTCGGCTCCTCGCCATTGGAAGCAGCAGAGACAGTGTTGAACTCTTTGTACACAAATTGCCTCAGTCTTTCCAACAAACTTCACAATATGACACAGCCAGCTTGACTTGAACAGCCGTCCATAATCGCACTTACAGAAATCTGGCTCACACCAGATGACTGTGATGTGGAAATCTCGATAGACGGCTACCCCAATTATGAGCTGACTTAAAACGTGAGAAGGCTGGTAGGGTCGTTGTTTATTTGCATGCGTCCATCATCATCATCATCATCATCATCGACGGCATGACAGACATCTTCAACACCGATGCTTCACTGCCGTACAATCATGACTTATTTGAAAGCCTTATTGTAAAGAAAAGAATAAACGTGGACGGGGAAGGGACATAGTGCTAGCTTAACACAATCATTCCGAGGTGCCTACACCTCCAGACATTCACTCAGGCAATCTGGATAGAAACTGACAACAAGAACGCCACTGAAATCGGTTGGCAGCC